CCAAGTATTACCAGAGGAAAGAATTTCATAATGATAAATGCAACCTTCAACAGAAAGATACATCTAAGTGTGTATGGGTCTAATAAAAAAGCCTCCAAATACAGGATGCAAAATTGGGGCGCCTGGGTGGCTCAGTCGTTAAGCGTCTGCCTTCGGCTCAGGTCATGATCCCAGGGTCCTGGGATTGAGCCCCGCATCAGGCTCCCTGCTCAGCGGGAAGCCTGCTCCTCCCTCGCCCACTCCCACTGCTTGTGTTCCCTCTCTCGCTGTGTCTCTCTGTCAAATAAATAAAATCTTTAAAAAAAAAAAAATTGACAGAATTAAAGGGAAAAATTTTTAATTCCACAATTCTCTTAAAATGTCCTAAAATCCCTAGCTAAACCTAGCCACTGCCTGCTCCCACATCTCTCCTCCTGCCTACTCCTTCCCGAGCTATTTACTCACACATACTTTCTTCTCCCCAGCGAGCTAACTTCTCTTTCAGGCTCCCAAATCCTGGCACCCACTGTTCTCTCTGCTTAGAACACTTTCATTTCCTTTTTTGGTGACTCCTACTTTCACTCCAAATGTCCCTTCTTCAGAGATGCTTTCCCTGCTGATTACACGTTTTCAGAGCCCATCTGTGGGTACACTGCTCTCTTTCCTTCTCTCTATTTCTGAGTGTGTGTGTACGTGAACCAGAGGAAGGCATCATCATGAAAACTGGAGGAATCAAAGCACGGAAGCCATTACTACTGAGCACTGGTCGTAGCACCAGTGCTTGACATTTAGTTAGCATTCTGTAAATATTTTTAATGAAACAAATAATGAATATTCAATGAATAAATAAATAGAGTAAATTATTTATTTATCTTTCTTTTAAATCTGAGGGACATCTGAGCATGCTTTGGCAAAGGAGAGCTGGGGGAGGAAACAAGTGCAGAATGAGAACGGCTCACTGGTTGGAACATAAGAGGACACAAAGGTATTCCTAGAATTGGTTTAGATAAAGAGAAGATGGGAGTGAGAAATGAAGAAAAACTCGTGCATATTAATCAGATGGCTTAATCTCCACGTATAGGTGAATTAGGAAGCTGGGAGTGTGCAAGGGAAGGGAGCTGGAGTGATAAATAAACTGAATATTTTACTGTGCTGAGCTTCTGTTTCAAACAGTTCATTCATTCATTCATTCATTCATTCCTTCATTCAACACCATTAAATAGCATCTAGAAGATATAAAACTTCTATTTGAGTTACATGGGGTGCTGGGCTGCCCCTAATGAATATACTGTAGATGAAAATAGGTAGAATTCCAGTCCCCTATGGAACAGCAAACTCATTGGTTTCATGTAGTTAGAACTACAACTTCTTCTAGGTATGCCCTTGTGTGATTTGGAGTAGGAGAGGAGGGACAGAGTACTAAAAGCATGTTTATATTATGTCATGCTGAATGAAACTATGGCATATTTTAATCTAGCTATGATACTGTTGTAAAATTTGAGGAGAGTCTGTAGGAAGTAGGAAGGACCCCCACCAAGGTACGCCAGAGATGTGCATTCATAAAGCATGCTGCCTTATTTTTATCAGTCATATGTAAACATACAGGCTATTAGCAACTGAAAAACATAGAAAAAATTATCTGCACTGTGCACTAAAAAATAAACTATAACTGGTTCTATGGTGTTGGGTTCATCTTGGGTTCACCGAAGTACATATTATTTAGTATCAACTAAGAAAAGAAAGCCCAAGCTTCTTGTCAGTCCACTGGACGGACACTCAAAATATTCAAGGTAATCTAAGAAAAGGCAAGATTTCTTTAGCCACCAGGGGCTCTTGAGGCAATGATCTCCAAAATTACATCAACATGAAGGAAACAAACATGCTCAGTTTGCCCTAAACAGAATGTTCCTATTTTAATTCAAACTATTATTTGAAAAATCACACATAATTTTTTAATGAAATATTTCTGGAATAGTAATGGTTAAATATTTACATAGTAATTCTGAATCTTTGAAGAAATATTTCTGAAATCATCACATTTACACTGATCTTTGAAAAAAGTACAACATTTGAGGGAGCCTGAGTGGCTCAGTTGGTTAAGCGACTGCCTTCGGCTCAGGTCATGATCCTGGAGTCCCGGGATCGAGTTCCGCATCGGCTCCCTGCTCAGCAGGGAGTCTGCTTCTCCCTCTGACTCCCCCCTCTCATGCTCTCTCTCTCTATCTCATTCTCTCTCTCAAATAAATAAATAAAATCTTTAAAAAAAGAAAAAGAAAGAAAAAAGTACATTTGAAATACGGTGATATAAACAATTTTCACCTCCCTCAATTATAAAACCATACCAAAAACAAAAACAGGTCACTCTTTAATTAGTAATTGTTATGATTGTTATATACAAACCATTATGCTAAACATGGAATATAAAAATCCTACTAATAAGGAATTTATAGTTCAGTTGAACGATAAGACATATGCCCACATAATGATAATATAAAACACAAAAGGGGCATGTGCCTAAGGAAAGGATGACAGAAAGCATGACAAGATTTCAAAGATGTCTTAAATATAAAGGACATTATTGGAACAACTGGCAAAACTTGACTGGGATCTGAGGATTAGATGATAGTAATATATCAATGCCAATTTCCTAATGTTGATGGTTGCATCATGGTTAAAAGTATGCTTATTTGTAGGTAATATGCACCAAGGTATTCAGGGATAATAGGGCCTAAGGTTGGCAATTTATTTGCAAATGACAAAAAAAAAAAAAATAGTTCTTTGTACCACACCTGCAACTTTATCGTATCTTTGAGATTGTTTCAAAAGCTAAAACAAACTTTAAAATGATGATTGTGAGTAAAGTAGTATCATTCTGAGTTTTACAACTTTTAAAAAGTAGTCTCTATTAATTCATGTTGCTTGTAAACATAGAGGTATTTATTCTGCTTCACTTGGCAAAACCTTGAGATCCTTGAGGGAAAGGTCCAGTTTTACTTTAATTTACGTGGCACACAACCTTCGTTACCCTTAATCTTAAACCAATCTTAGATGTAATCATCTGTAATTTGAAATCATAGTTCTATGCCCACACTTATTTTTATTTACAAAAAGAATTAAAGCATAATAGTATTGAGTCTAGAAAACTCTTTCTACATCCATTTAATGGTGACAAAAAGTTGATGTTACTATGAATTATTAGAAACCCCATTTATAAATGAGAATATGGAAACTGAAGAATGAAGACATATATCTGTTTAACTGTGGTGCTGGAACCTGAACAGAGTTCTTATGACTTTTTAATCCCATGTTCTTTTCCACCAAACACTGCTATCTCAGGTCCTTTTGAAGGCTCTGTTCAGTTATCACCATGAGTCAGGAAATTTTTTGCTTAGAGCACAGTCCTGAAGGGAGGTGACCAAGACAACTCTGAGTTGTAAGAACCTCTCTGTCTCATTTTTCTAAAACGGGTTAGATAGCAATAGTATTTCTTCTTCATAAATCATAGGCTAAGGCACTTAGAGGATTAAATGAATCAATACACATAAGGGACTTGGAATAATGCTTGATGCATAATAGACATTAAACTATTACTATTTCTAAAAATTCAGGAAATTTTAGGACCCTAAACAACTGAAAAGAAGGCATTTGAATAAAAGCATCTTGCATGAATAGGGAATTATTTCAATTGTTTCTTAATTAAGAGGGAGTTCCTTGCTTTGCTATTTGGCATATTCATTTGCTAAATGAGGAAGTGTTTATCTACTGCTGTTGTGTATTACTCAAAAAAAGCACAAATTTTTGCCTCAGCATTTATCCTTAGAAAACTGAAAACCCTTGTATAAAAATAGGTCCGTCCCCAGTATTTTCTACTTCATGACCCAAAAATTCTTGAAATATGAACATTTTAAACCCTCATTTACCCTTTTCAAAATGTCAACCATACTCTTTACATATAGCAGGTTACAGTAAATTATGACTGGGCTACCAGACCCTGCTGGAAATAATCATTAATTATTATTAGTTATTAGTTATTAATTATTATTATATTTTTTATATTTTATATTTTATATAAAATATATAAAATTATAATAATATAATTTTATATATTTTAATAATTATATTATTAGTTATTAGTTATTATTATTAATTATTTTGCACAAGAAATCCTCTTGCTACTAAAAAAATTAAAACAGCACAAATAGATATTCAATACAGATCATTATTTCCAGTGGGTATCAATCAGTTTGAACAGGCAAACTGTATCTGAAAACCATATCATGGCCCAAAAGAGGTTTTGGAATAAACCCTGTCTGGAGATTCCATTCATTAATTCATACAAACATTTATTTAACATTTACTAAATACTTCCTATGTGTCCAATAATCCTTAACCTTAGATGCTGGGGATATTGCCACGGATAAAACAAATATTTCTCCCTCTTTCGACTTGCATTTTAATGGAAGTTAACCGGGAATTATCATGAATTCTATTTGTATATGTTATACACGCTTACCTATTATTCATAATGGATTCTTTAAGTTCCTCTACTGTAGGTGGCTATTAAAAAAATCTAGCCTGTTACTATTTGAACTAATATGACTGTGAACTGTGATTTCTGAACAAGTCATCTGACCTTGCTATGCCTAAACTTCCTCATATGGAAAATGGGGATAATAATTGAACCTATCTAGAGTTTTCATGTGGACATTAACTGAGTTAGTACACAGAACAATGCTCAGCTCAAATTAACCTCTACATAAGTATTGACTATTATATTTCAAAAGAGGGATTGTGAATGACCTCACATACAGCAAGCTTTGAACCACAACCTTTGAAATTATGAGACCACACACTTGTCCAGTAGGTTTCCTAGAAAGTATTTTAACAAACTTATACTTAAGTAACTTCAGTGCACCCAGATCAATTTTTCTTAAAGGACATTAAGACAATGAGTCTAGATGTACATATTGGCAAGTATTGTGTATTATATACTCACACATAAAATTCCTTCTATTACTCACATTCTCATAGAGAGCTTGAAGGGTCTCCAGATCAACCACAGAATTGTCCAAGTTCACAACAGCTGTGGAAAAAAAAAAAAAACATATGAAAGAAAGAATATAAATTCCCATTTAAGCCAGTTGTGAAAAGATGTCTGACCATCTTGAACAACAGTGACCTTCTCCAGAATAGTGTTCTAACTTCAACGCACCCACTTACTCCACTACCAAGACTGTGTCCAAGGAATTTCAACAGGGGTAAAGTGTAAAGCTTTCATTTGTCCCTCAAACACAAAATCCCATGAATATGACCCAGTCAAAGGTCAAAGATAAACTGTGAGTCTTTCAAGGTCCAACTGCATGAATTTGAAAAATTTGCTGAAACGGGCAAATCACTCCTGTTACTGTCACATCCCGTTTTGTGAGGGACTGAAGGACTTAATATGAAAATAAAAGATGAATTTTCTGTTATATTTTTTTACATTGTTATAATCAAAGGACAATTCATTGATTATGGTATTGAGATTAACACAGATGCACCCTTAAAAATCCATTCTTTTTTTAAGTAGGCTTCATGCTCAGCGCGGAACTCAACATGGGGCTCAAACTCACAACGGTGAGATTAAGACCTGAGCCAAGATCATGAGTCAGATGCTCAACTGACTGAGCCACCCAGGAGCCCCCAAAATCCATTCTTAATGTACAAACTACCCATGCTTATATAAGGAAGAAGTGGAATGGAAAATCAAAAACTGGGAATATGTTCTTAAACACATTTCTTTTGGCCTGAGAAGCATGTTGGATTTTGGAGTCAGTATGTTTCATAACTCAGTTTGGGCACAGATTAATCAAAAACATTCTGCATTACCTACATATATACTAGCTGGAAATGATGTGAATTTTGCCCTGATCAGATTTGTGCCAAGTAGCCAATGAAGCTGCTATGTATGGGATTAAAGATTTCTGGGAGAAAAATCACAAAGTAGATAATCACAAATTGGTTAGATTTATTTTGATAATTGAGGCATTTCACACTGTCTTTTCTCTCAAAGCCTAAAGTGCATGAGATATTTTCTAGTTGACTCTGGCAAAATACCAAGAATGAATTAAAAAAGACAAGTGGGAAATTGAAGCATATGATGGACGAGAAATCTAACCAAGATAATTTAGCATTTCTATCTGGAGCTGGGAACAGAGCCCAGATTCACCAACAAAGATCATAGTAAGTAGAGTATGATACTTCCACCCTAATAATATTCCATTATCTCCATTTCCAACAAATTATGTCTCAAATATCAATCTAAGAATTTGATTAAGATTTTCAGACAAATCTTTTCACTCCTTAGACCACATAAGGCAAACATATCACAATCTGTTTAGCAACTCAAAGTGGTAAAACCAGCCCAACTAACTTTGACTATATTTCAAAAATTAATTAAAAGGGATTAATAAATGATTTTTACTAGCGGTAATATGCCTATAATGTAACAAAATGCATAAAACCCAAATAAGGATAGCAAAATCATGTGTGAAATTATCCCCTTGGATTTGTACATTGTCTAGCCCTTAAATAAAATTTACACTGAACCCAAAGATCTCTGACTTTGAAATTCATTAGATAATAATCCAGTATTTCTACATTCCTCTGATGACACAGCAAAAGATTGATGGGAAAACAATGAAAGAAATGCCAATAGTCAACTTAGTGTAAGATTTCATTCTTAGTAAAGACACAATAAAATCATTTGTACTTAAGTCAAAACTCTTTATAAAAGATACAGTTGTCCTCTGACGTTACCCATAGTTTTAAAACATGTTATTCCGGGCGCCTGGGTGGCTCAGATGGTTAAGCGTCTGCCTTCGGCTCAGGTCATGATCCCAGGGTCCTGGGATCGAGTCCCACATCGGGCTCCCTGCTCCTTGGGAGCCTGCTTCTCCCTCTGCTTCTCTCTCACTCTCTCTCTCTCCCTCTGTCTCTCATGAATAAATAAATAAAATCTTTAAAAAAAAAAAAAAAAAAAAAAAAAACATGTTATTCCTACAAGTGTTCCCCACAGGAAACTTTGTGTGTATAAGTGTGGGTTTCTCATCGGTTTATCTCACACAATGTCAGGTACTGAAGAATTATCTTAATAAATGCCATGTGGTCCTAATCATTGGTATATGGTCCTAAGCAAGTCCTCAAAAGTTCCTAAGCCATGAAACCTCACTATTTGGTCATCCACAAGGAAATCTCCATGGAAAGAAATACTGTTACTATTTTTCCACACAATTTTCTCTTAGTTGGCTTTACACTTGAGAGATGCTAACACAATTTGATGGGAATCACAGTTTTGAGAGAACAATATAGTCATGCTTGAGTAGCTGAAAATTAGAGAAAATTAGATACTGGCAGATGAATGGATGAAATGAGAGGAGTTCTAGATGGGAAATAAAGGCAAAAGAATTAATTTGGGAAAAATTAAGGTTACTGAGGTGCTATATTTACTCAATTTAAAAAGCACATTTTAACATTTCAGAAATCAAGACTCAGACTAAAATTCCTATCTTTCTAAATATTTAGTGGTGTCTTCTAGTGCTCCCTCCCTTAAAATCTGTATATTTTCAACTGATAAATTCTAAAATCAAGGAAATAAAACAATGCATTCACTCATGAACTCAATAATATGTAAAGTGTTCTTAGCATCCAGGGACTATACTAGCTTGGTACACTGGTTAACTGTTATTTGAGAAACAATGACTTGAGGGGCGCCTGGCTCAGTTTGTTAAGCGACTGCCTTCGGCTCAGGTCATGATCCCGGGGTCCCGGGATCGAGTCCCACATCGGGCTCCCTGCTCAGCGGGGAGTCTGCTTCTCCCTCTGACCCTCTTCCCTCTCGTGCTCTCTGTCTCTCATTCTCTCGTTCTCAAATAAATAAAATCTTTTAAAAAAAAAGAAACAATGACTTGAAATTGGAGCTATTTGATGTGGATGTTCTCAATTACTCAGCCTCGAAAGGCTGCAAACAAATGGATGTGCAGAGACCACTCCAATCAGATTTCTAGCTATGGCCATGCTAAGGACTTTAGAAATAGAAATAGAAATACACGTACTATATTTTTTAAGGTGGCAAAAGTTTCAAGGAAAAAGCACGTCACAAATTCCCTGATTCCATGTGCAAAATTTCAGCCTTCTTTGAGAGGAAAAGATCTTTTTTTTTGAGATTATTTCAAGGTGATAGCTTCTATTTTCCCCCAAAAGGGAATACTGTTTTTATGGGATGCTTTATTGATGTAGAAGGAACACAGAACATGGAATCAAACTTAACTAGGTTTAAATTTTTCTTTGCTGCTGCATTACTTCAAGTAAGTTACTTAACTTGACAAGTTCTAGTTTCTTTATGGGGGGCTGGTGTGAGGGGAAAAGGAAATCAAAGAAAATATTAGCAAGATTTGGGGTTTCGTGGGGACCAAAGGCAGGAACAAGTAAAAGGATCTAGCATGAGGTTGGTTAATGATAGTTCCCTCTTTTCATAAAAGTTCAACTCTTCTGGCTCTAATATACTTTATTATCTAACTCAAAGTTAAACGAGTTTCTTTTTTTTTTTTTCCTACTTGTGTTTTGTGCCCTCATAAACCAAAAAGAAAAATTCCACCTCCATCTATTAAGGGGTGTGTTCTCACCCGAACAATGAACTATCACAACTAAATGACAGCCTGGCTTACAGTTACCACTGTAACTTTTTTTTTTTTCAGAACACCTAGAACTTTAATGGATACTTAGTAACCACTTCTTAGCCGAAGACCATTTTCCGAGAGGGTTCGAGCTGGCAGCGACGGCCACCCCCTCCAGATACTGAGGGACGAAGGTGGCCGGGGGGAGGAGGAGTGTATTGGTCTCTGGACAGGCAGGGCATTGGGATGCTGTGGAATGGTGATTAAGGGGCCGTTCACACTGGGGCGGGGCTAGGCCTGGGGCTCGGGCACCATCCTCCACCATTTGAAGGCAAAGGGTACCCTGCAGATGTTGGCACAGGCACAGAAGTCCCCAATTTCAGTCAGGTAGCAGTCAAAGTCATCGATGAAGGTGCACTTGAAGCCCAGGGGCTCTAGCAACTGGCAGATCTTTTCTTCCAGGCAGCAGATGCCCTTGATCTGGGGCCCAAAAGGCTTGGGGATGCCCAAATTCTTGCCCATCACGATCATCTGCAGCAGGTTAGGGAAGTAGGGCCTCGCGAATAATTGTACCATCTGCTTGGAGGGGACGTTAGTCAGCTGCTCCAAGCAGAAGAGCTGCGGGATGTCAATGATGTCCCTTTCCACCAGACCCAGCTCCTTCTTCAGGATGTCATGGTTCAGGTTAATGCACTTCTCTACATAGTTGTTCTGCTTCCTCATGTTTTCATCAGCCAGAAGTTGATTGATGGTGTTGGCCTCCCTCCCGTTGGAAAGGAGCTGGTCCTCCCGGACCTCTGCAAACAGAGTCAGGTCTCTGTAGCCGTCCTTCTGTTTCTCCTCGAACAGTCTGTAGCAGGAGCTGGGGCTGGCCAGGAGCAGCTGGAAGCCCTTGTCACCCTCACTCTTGTCCTGCGTGGGGATGAAGCACATGAACTCATCCATGTGGCTGACCATCAGCCAGTACGAGAACAGCTCCACTGGGGCCTGGACTTGCTGGGCATAGAGGAAGTCCCAGAGGGCCTTACCCATGTCTCGGCCCTCCTTGCTGGGGTAAAAGCAGCTGCCAATGAGGATCCTGCCTAGGGGGTACTCTTTCCCTTCCACCTTGACTGGTGGGGACACCATCAGGGTCCCAATAGAGTCCATGCTGGCCACCCTGTGGTCCTTGGTGCCTTGGATCATGTAGCCAACCCCTGGGCTCAGGGAGTATTTCATGGGGAAGTCGTCCAGCGTGAGGACCTGAGGGGTGTCGAGGACCAAGGAAAGATTCTTGTGGGGAGCCTGGGTGTAACAGAACGCCATCTCATCCTGGAGCCACCTGCCCAGGTGGTTGGGGTCCTCACAGACAGATACCACCTGGCTGTTACTCTTCTCGCTCAGTTCCATCACTGTGTTCACAAAACCCTGGACCTGCAGCGCTCTGCAC